GATGTCAAAATTATTTATATTAGATCATATTTAAAAATAATATAGTCTAAATTTTTTGGCATCGTTGGTTTATTAAATAATAATAATTACAGAGCTAATTTGTTATATTAACAACAAACTTTAAAATCATGAAATATAAACATTTATTAATTTTCTAAGCATGCAGTGTAATGGAAGGAAAATATAAATGAAAAATTAGAAATCAAAATTATTTATATTAGGTACTTTATATTATTATTTAAAAATAATATTTACTTTTACTGGCATTTACTTAAAAAATAAATGAAATATTTCTTCGCAAAAAACTACGTGTAAAAGAATTAGCATAAACAAAATACAAACATCGTTAACTTTTTTTAAATTGGCACGTGTAAAACTTCAAGTTCATCTCATCTCTCTTAAAATTGCTACTTCTCAAAATTTCCCATTAAAAAATAGACCATATATACCATATAAAAATAAAATAATTGAAAGATCGGGCTACGGAAAATCACACAAATTTTCGGAAAATTTTTGACACCTGCACACGCACACAATCGTCAATTAAAAAAACTACTATTTTAGTATTATAAATATTTTAATAAACGCAAAAATAGCACAGTATTTATAAGGTGAAGTTATAAAAATTTGGAAGAACTAATAATGCACTGACGCACACAAAAATCAAACGAATACTAAATTTCATTTTTCATTTATCAAAAGCATTCGATAGTCGTGGCTCAACGATAACCATTTAGTTGCACGGCGAGGTTGTCACATATACTTTAGTATACAAATGAATGAATGATTTTATTCGAATAAAACCATTCGATAGTTGAAATCATTCATTCAGTAACCATTCGATAGTATAATTCATTCGATAGTTCCCATCGCTAGTTGAAATCATTCATTCAGTAACCATTCGATAGTCTAATTCATTCGATAGTTCCCACCGCTATATTAGATATCACTAATGAGCGAAAATACGAGATATATTTTTATAAATAATACAATTTTTGAACTCTTAAGCAGGCAGTATTTATGTTACGCACAATACTCGAATTCGGGTAATGCCCGAAAAAAATGCACAGAACTAGTTTTGAGCAAAAAATATTTCCCAAACCCAAAATTGTACATTTAAACGGGTATTGCGCATTACAAAATAGTCAAAACTAGTATTGTGCATTTCGAATTGCGCAAAACTAGTTTGGTGCATTTCAAAATGTCCAATACTAGTTTTGCTTGTCCTATTTGATCAATAACGCCCTAACACAAAGGATGGATTGTTCATGAATGTGTTTGATTCAAATATGATTAAACTGACAATAAAATACTTAAAAAAAAAATTGGCGCCGGGAGGCACGTATAGCCGCCCATACTAAAATATGTTAATATCTCGAAAACTGCGACTTTGACTGATTTTGATGTTATTACAAATTTTGTTGCAAATATTATTCCTAATCTTAATTTGAAAACCGCGTTTCGCTAGCTACTGTAATTTTGGATTTTTTTAAATTTTTAACCCCCTCCTATACCCCCTTACCAACCCCCCACCCCCACCAAAAACTAATGGCCAGATTCTCGGGTGCCACAATATTTTTGTGCCAAATTTAGTTAAAATCGGTTCAGCGGTTTTTGAGTTATCGTGTTACAGACGGCAGACAGACAGATACCACGAAAATATTTTGTATTTAGGTCATTTATGACCCAAATAACTCATTTTGAGTGAAATTAAAAAAACTTTTTTTTGCCGATCCTAATAGCACAGAATATCTAGCTACGCAACAGAAAAATACTTGCAATGAAAGAGCTAAAATTGCACAAATAAAATACTAGATGGCGCGACAATATCATAATCAGAATATAATTAGAAATTTTCAACTTTCGGTTTTGAATCGACGTAGATTGACAGCACGTCGACGGCCTTAAAGCTCAGCTAAATATGCACAGTTGCCAGATTCAAATAGACTTTAATTGGCATGCCATTCTTTTTCTGGTGTATAATAATTTCTTTCTATTCTTCGTTTCTTTTCAGATACACTTATATTAATTATTCGTTTGGCTTTTAAAATAGTTTTAAGTTTTTAAGTATATTATTAGAAAACGTATGCTCACAAAATACATTTTTAATATATATGTACACTACTTTATTATGTTAACTAAGAAAATAACTTTAGTTACCTTTAAAATTAATATTATACAGGGCGATTGATAGTGATAATTATTAATGCTAAAACGTTAGTAATGAAATATACGTTTAATAATAATGGAAATAATTTATTCAAATACAGTATAAAAAATGTTAATTGACTAAAAAAATACTATAATAACAAATTTCTCCTGTTTGACACGTTTATATAGACCTAAGTAGATTTTAAAAAGTGACACAGGTACAATTAATAATATATTAGTTCGGCATAAAAGTTGCTGTCACGGCATCGTACAATAAATTAAAATTATTAATTAAACAAATCTTTATAAAGAAACGCAAGTATAATCAAATATGAGCCCAATCGAACGTCAGGAAGTGGTATCGTAATATGGTACTATAATAAGGTACCACTTTATATATGCATCATAGTAGATGCATCATAGTACCATCAGATTACAATGTCACCGAAGATACTTACTATACCAAGTTAAGCCCAATCGAACGCCAGGAAATGGTATCGTATATGGTACTATTATGGTACCTCTTGATATGCTTCATGGTACCATAATATTGCAATCTCATCAAAAATATGCAAGTATGTCATCAAAAATATGCAATATCAAATATGAGCCCAAATGAACGTCAGGAAGTGGTATCATAATATGGTACTATAGAAGGTACCAATTTATATGCTCCATGGTGCCATCATATTACGATGTTACCGAAAATACGTGTTATACAAAGTTTAAGCTCAATCGAACGCCAGGAAATGGTATCATAATATGGTACTACATTATGGTACCCCTTGATATGCTTCATGGTACCATAATATTATAATGTCATCAAAAATACGCAAGTATAATCAAATATGAGCCCAATCGAACGTCAGGAAGTGGTATCGTAATATGGTACTATATTAAGGTACCACTTTATATGCATCATAGTACCATCATATTACAATGTTACCGAAGATACTTACTATACCAAGTATAAGTCCAATCGCACGCCAGGAAATGGAATCGTATATGGTACTATTATGGTACCTCTTGATATGCTTCATGGTACCATAATATTACAATGTCACTGAAGATACGTAATATACCAAGTTTAAGCCCAATCGAACGCCATGTGTCGTAATATGGCACTATATTACGGTATCACTTGATATGCTTCATGGTACCATAATATTGCAATGTCATGAAAAATACGCAAGTATATATCAAATACCGTATGATACCGAAAAAAACGGCTTCCAGTTGGCTGGGAAAAGACGATCGATGACATTTCCCATATAAATTTACACATAAAATGACAGCGATTTTCATTTCATAGCCATCGCTAACGCCGTATTTTCCCGATCATACGGTATAAACACAATCGAACGTCAGGAAGTGGTATCATAATAGTAGAACAATACTTATTATATTGTCGCCGAATTACAATCAAAATTCAGGATTCAGTTAGAATCAAACGTAAGGAAGTGATTTTAATTCAGCTCGTAAGATTTAACTCCAACTAACATGGCAAGTTAAATACTTAAACGTTTGAAAAAAAAGCTCTAATCTATTTTAATATGTTTAAATGATGTAGCAAATTTGAAGGTAGGCTTTATCAGGAAGTATTACAATATAAATTACACAATGGCAACACTGCATAAAATTCTTTTAAATTTCGTTTGTAGAAAACTGTTTTCTTTTAAATTTATCGCCCTCTATTTATCGCCCTCTGCTTTAAAAGCCTGTCTCCTTTTGAGTCCTACGATTTTATACATGTAACGAGGCTTCTGTTGCGTAGCTAGATATTCTGTGCTAATAGCCTACCATACCTATTGGTATGGTCGGCTAATAAAACTTTATTCATAAATATTTTATAAATGGATAAATACATAATAATATAGGTACCTATATGAATATTTATACAGTAGCATTATATTATTTATTTGAACAGTAACTTGAATGGTGGCACTTAGAGTTGCAAATAACATTATTTTTTCTATAAGAACACGCTCTATTAATACATTTTTTTATACACATGCATGAAATAAAACCTTGAGTAGATCCGGATATTTCGGAAGATGCAGTTCTAAGTGATATTTCCGTTTTATCGCCAACACTGTTATTGTCAATAAAAAAATTATTATCAGCTAATTGAAACTCATTTCTACAATAAAGTTTTTGTAAAACTCCAGTCTTTCTTGCTAATTTGTAAAACCCATCATCAGCCGATTGTACAACTGCCATTACATTTCGTGGTGCTAATCTTCCTCGATCTACGTCTGGTATTCGAACAAGAACATTGTCCCCAATTAGGGCTGCTTTAAATTTTTTATTTGCTTTGTTTTTTAAACTGCTAACCCTACTTTTGCCGTCTTATTTAAAGAGTACGAGCAAAACTAGTATTGGTCATTTTGAAATGCACCAAACTAGTTTTGCACAATTTAAAATGCACAATACTAGTTTTTGCTATTTTGTAATGCGCAATACCCGTTTAAATGTACAATTTCGGGTTTGGGAAATATTTTTTGCTCAAACCTAGTCCTGTGCATTTTTTTCGGGCATTACCCGAATTCGAGTATTATGTGTAACATTTATAATATAGGAAATTCAACATTCTTAACATTTTTGAATATTGTATAAACCTTTTAGCTTGTAACCACAAACCACATTCAAATCAGAATAACGATTCTTAAATCTGAAAAAATGTGTTTATTTTTTTAAAATTTGATGCTCTCTATCGGACAAACAAAGCACTTTTGTATTGAAGTAAATTGTGTCCGATGAACTTATTTTGATTCCAAAAATACGTAATAATTCTGTCGAAATAAAGAATAAAAAAGCATAAGAATGTTAATAAATCCAAGTAAACCCACCTGTTGAATTCTCATCATCTCTTTCAATATCTTCTTCCACTATTTCTACTATATTACTGCCGCCTTCATTGAGATTTAAAATATCTTTATTCGGAGTAATATCAGAACTGACTTCAACATTTTCACCCAAAACTTCTATTGGTTCTGGAACTTTTTCTAATTCTTTATTATCGGTATGAACAGCTTCTGAACTTTCGGTAGACTTTTCAATTTCTTCTTCATCTTCAAATAAAAAAAAATATGAATAAATATGTATTAATTTTTAAAAGGTGTTAAAATACTTGGTTTCGTAATTTCCTTGTTGCTTATATCTTCAATAACAACTTCATTAGCTTGTTCAGGTGTTTCCATGGAAGTATTTGTTTCTTCTATCACAGACTCCTCCGTTATTTCTGGCACTTCTGGTTGTTCTTTTGTAGGCTCTTCAACACTGTGATTTTCTGTTTCTACCTCTTTAGTATTATCCACAGTAGGTTGTGGCTCTTCTACAGGTGTAGGCAATTGTTCTTGTGTCTGTGCAGTAGTAGAATTGTTTTCATCAGGTTTTTCTTCCATCTCAACTACTTCCGGTTGGCTTTCTTGTGAATTTGCATCAAAATTCGCCACATAAGAAGCAGTTGTAACAGCAGAAAGTGATGGTACATAAGTATCTTGAACCTAATAAAATTAAAATTAAAATTAACTTTTCAATTAAGTTAAATGTTTATTTACTTGTGGGGTGGTATATACATAAGGGGCAACTTCAGATGTTGCTTCTGTCACAATGTGAGTGCTAATATTTTGTTGGGGATCTGGCATATATGAAGCTTCGGTGACCACAAACTCTTGCTGAAAACATAATATATTTTTACAAATTATATTCTATAAACTCATAATTTTCAGCAATGTATTTCATCAAATAAAATGTTATACCGGGTGCATCTCAAAAATGGCTCGCCTCTATATCTTTTTAATTTTCCAGATAAAAAAACGAGATTTGGTTAGTATATGAGATAAATTAGGATTGGTTGGCGTATTTGGTCACTTCCTGTTTCACCGGAAATTACTACAACTTAAGATTTTTAAATGACACCCTCAGTTTTTTTTTACTTTATTCAATCGAAAATATCACTCTGAATAGAATGATATATCATATGTCTACTTTTGACATTTTCATATGTGGTTTATTTGAAATTGTAACATGCGCTTCATAACGAGATTTTAACTCGAAATACCAAAAGTGGGGTACCATTTTATTCAAAAAAAAAATTGTTCCAAATGTGTTAATGAGCCACCCTTGTTCCATTTGGAAAAATTGAGATATGATTAAAAATACGCTTTGGGCATCTTTTAAGTGGCCAGGACTAGACACGAAAACCATTAGACAATCAAATCTATTTTTTGAAGGCTTCTTGATTAAAAATTAGTTAGAGTTTAGAGTTTTTAACACAGCCATGGCACTCTAGATTGAAATTTAAAATACAATTTTTTTAAGCGAAATGTCAAAAGTTGACATATGATATGTCATTCTATTCAGAATGTCATTTTCTATCAAATGAAGTAAAAATACACAGAGGGTGCCATTTAAAACTCAAAAGTTGTAGCCATTTCCAGTGAAACAGGAAGTGACCAAAAACAACTGAATATGTCAATCAATCCTAATTTATGTCATATACAAACATACCAAATCTAGTTTTTGGTTTGGTTTGGTTAAAAAAGGGGTGAGTTAAGCAAAGTTATAGCCCAATATATATATATCACCCCAAAAGGGGTGAGCCACTTTTGAGACACCTGGTATGCAGAAATTCAAACACTTTTTAAATAATGTGGAACTTTTCCTGTTAAAGTAAGCCTATCTAATAGGTAATTTTACTTACAGCACTGTTATTTACTATAACAGTTATTTTCCTTATACTGTATATGTAATTTCATAATACATAAAGAATGATAAAAGCAATGAAAAGGTAATACATAAGCACTTACATTTTGAACAAACTGTTCTCCACCAGGTGGTACCTGTTGAATGGTGCCATCAGGGAATTGCTGTTCATACTGGTAATGAACTTGCGGAAGGTGAATGCCTTGTGCATCCGTAACTTGTGCAGTATCAAAGTGCTATAATAAAAAAACACCATAACAATAGCAACATATAAAATGGGCAGTGATAATTTCACAATAATTGTTAGTACGTATATAGTAAAAATGGTAAAGAATGACATTACAAATATACCTAACTAAATTTTTATACTTATATAAAATTACCTGTGCATTTAAATCCATATTTGCAGCAACAACTTCTGGTGTTGTTGGAATTAACTGTCCCTCTGTTGTGTAAATGTACTGAGTACCCATAGTTTTTTCATTTAAATTGTTATCGGCATAGGTCTGTGTTTGAGGATCAACAATTGTAATTGAATTGTCTCCAGGAGACTGCATCATGCCTAAAAAATAGCCAATTCTAAAAAATAGATTCAAAAAAAACATTGGTCTGTAATATTATATCTATGAAGTTATATACTCGCGAAAAAAGTATAACTAGAACTGTTAAAGAACTAGAAAATGTAGATATGTAAACATAATTATTATCATTTAATGCACCACGCACTCTAAATATTACCTCGTCTTTAAAATCTTGAAGGTAAATCACTAAAAATGTTTATAATAACGTTATTCAATAAATCGACCGTCCATACAAAATGCAGGGAATAATTTTAACACAAAATGCTCATACTATTTATAGAAACGTTCACTTTAAAATAAGCCGTAAAATCATAACATCTCAATACGCCATTTCGGTATGTCCATGATACGTCATCACGTCATCTATCTTATTTCACGGCTGCCAATGTAAATGAAGCATATTCCTAAAAGTTGAAAGAAATGAAAACTCCTATGTTAAAGCCTGGAAACACGCGCTCGACGCGATCCAAGCGGGCTACTGGCAGAACTAAAAGTTCGCGCCATATTTTTAAATGGACCTTTACTGCCAGTTCATAAGTTTTTTACTTATATTTGGTAATTTCAATCTAGATTATGAACTTATTTGTAACAAAACATTTTACAAAATAAAAATAATGTATTTTGATACAAATAAATTAATAATCTAGGTTGAAATTATCCCTGAAATTAGAATAAAACACGAAAAATTTGTAACTTGATTATTTTATTATAACATTGTTAATAAAATTACATATAACACATTCAACACTATACAAGTATATATAAAAGTTATCAGAATTTTTTTTTTATCTGTTTAATCTCAACTTTAATGACCTATTCAAATAGAAACATCTTACAATTCACATTATATAATACACAAAGCCAAGGGACAAAATTGTTATTAAATCTATTCTTGATGACTCAAAGCATTTTTTTTTTCAAATAAAACAGGACATACCTATAGGGCTTATAGATAATACAAGGGTATAGAAAATATATAAATAAGTAAATACAAATATATTTTCAACGTAATGATTAATGATTATACTCGTTTAAATAAATAAATGATCTTTTTAAAATTACTTGTTTGTCTTTGTAAATTTGTATATTTAATATTTATCTAAAAGCGTACACTTACATAAATTACTGTACAACCTTTAAAATTAAGCTTTTAATATGTTATACAAATTCTTGATTCGATATAAATACACTTAAATAAAACTTTAAAATTAATGATCTTCCAAATTTCTGAGACAGCCATTTTGTTGAAAGAATTTGTTTTGATTATGAGAAATTTCATAAAAATTATCACAGGGATTAATTAATCTTATATATGAAACTACTTGGCTTTTAAATTTCACAATCCTATCGTCCAAAATACTCTAAATTCGCAAAAATCCGTAAATATTCCCATAAAAACAAATCACAATTCACTTCCACTTCACAGAAACTGACAGACATTGCCAGATATGGAATGACGTTTATTTTTCAATTTATTTTACTGATCTAACTGATCCGGGTCACTTAGAAATTAAATTTTTATTAAATTATTTAATTATAATTGTTTCTGGCGAAAGCAACTTCATATCAATGTTTATTCATAGGGTAACAAAGCACATCGCTGTAAAATTATCAACATTTTATATAAATATTTATATTTTTCAACTACTCCAAATACTCCAATTACTCCACAGAGAATCAAACGAATTGTTAATTAAACTATACTCTGTGGATGACTTGATAAAATCATGATGAAATTAAAGTCCCTAGATGAATATCTAGGGACTTTAGATGTAATTTCTACGCAGCGCCATCATATACGTATTACTTTTTACAAATATACTCAGCCTAATCTCCAAAAAGTGAAGCCCAAACAGTGAAAGAACAATATGGAATTCTGCATAAGTCTATTTCACCCGGATATTCATTTAACTGAGCATGCCTCACCTGAAGAAGTTTTCATTGGTCGATATTTTTAAAGGGAAGTGGTTGACTGACATTTCCCCTAACCTTCAATTTTATTTATATTTTTATTATTTATAACACATTATCATAGAGTTGGAAAATATCAAAAATAGTTGGAAACAATAAACTAAACAAAATCACTCTTTTACGCGCACAAATAAAAAGTAATCCAAACAGAACTAAAACAACAATCAATCGGAGTTTGGCGCAATCGCAGTTCAATCCATATCCGGGTGAAATAGACTTATGCAGTTTTAATATGGAGCTGGGTTATGTTGTCTTTTTCTTACGGCATAGAAATTGCACACGGAGTTAAATAGGGAACCCTGAGTATATTTGTAAAAAGTAATACGTATATGAGCGCCATCTATCCCTCTACTGGCAGAAACTCCGCCGTGTTTCCAAAATTCAAATGGCAGTTTCATCCGCCTCTATTGAGAAGTTACTAGAACAATTTTTTAAAAATTTCCGCCAAAATCATTGGGAGTTACGGTGTAAAATATAAAAAATACTGGATAAATTATAAAACCAAAAAACCATATGTATAAAACAGGCATAAAAGTTTTCTTCATTTAGTATTTGGACTATTTGTCTGTATTTGTATAGAATGATATGATATAAAATGAAATCACACAATATACAAAATTCATTTATTTTAATGACAAACACATTTCATAAACATGCAATAAAAATTTTCTGAATATAATTATTACAAACTTCAATAGAAAAAATCTTTGATTAAATTATCTTTTGGAGCCTAGACATGTTTTATAGGTTTAATTTGAATTAATAATAGATGCACAAAACTTTATGAAAAGGTAAACCTTTTTCGTCAATTTCTGTGACATGTTTCCTTCTAAAATCCCACAAGAAATGATCTATAAGTATTGAGTTTATTTTCTTGGTTTCTAGTCTCTTGTTAGCATAGTCCTTTAGTAGTTCTACAGCATGAATTGAACATGCCCTGATTTCCAGTTCTTCTCTATCCCCATTTTTTAATACTGCATTTGATTCTAATTTCTTAAGCAGTTCATTATTGTACTCAAAAACTCCATACCACAAAAGTGTCTGGGGAATTCTATAATCAGCAAACATGGTTATTTCATCAATATCTTTAAAATATCCAGTTCCCTCGCCTTTAAAACAAGCCCAAACATCACCAACCAATATTTGAGCCCTTTTATAAAAAGAAACCTGTTTGCTTTCAAACAAGGCTTCGTCCTGAAAACATTTAAAGTTGGATATAATTAAATTCAATAACGACTTTGCACTGTTTTGGGCTTTTTTTACAACATTATCAAAAGAGCTTTCAAAATTCTCTTGTAAAACTGCGCCAACTTCGTGTAAGCATTTTAATCTCTCTGCTAAGAGAGGAATTTCCACTTTAGTATCACTACGAAAAATTTTCTTCAGTTGCTCCTCTGATATTGTAGAATAAAATTTTGGATTAAGTATGTCAACCTTTTCTTTCAAGGCTCGATTAATAGTTGCACATAAAGCAAAATATCCTGTGTATCCTTCAACTTTCCAACCTTGAACAAAATTTGTTTGTTACTAATGTATATGGCATATAAATTAAATAAAAAAAAACCTTCTGCATCATCGTAGTTCCAAAAGCAAAAGTTTAATGTATCCACTACAAACAACCAGTCGAGTACATGCAAATCATCAGGTTTAGGATGAAATTCTACTTGACTAAAATTAGCAGGCTGTAAAGATCCAGAAGTAAATTCTTCAACTAAAACATTGCCTAATTTTTCTATTCCTTCCTGTTTAATTGTAACAAATTTTGCATTCTCTGCAATTAGTCTTCCTGTCTCTTTTGGTGATAATACCATTTTTTTAATATCAACAAATTAGTGCCAAGCCAAGACAAAGGCCAAGATATACAAGGTAAGTATGGAGCATAAAGTAACTAAAATAAAAGAGTGTTTGAAAGGTTGTCTAACTTGGCCATAATGTTGCATAGTTCAGTCAGTGCCTTCTATTAAAAGATCAGCCTACGGGCGGACTTTTGTTTACTTCATCAGCTGTACATACTTAGATATTGGGTTAGATTCCGTTTCATATTTTGTCGGTTGATTTTTGGTTTTAACTCTTTGATTTTTGGTATTATTTATTATTGTAGTGCAAAAAACTAATTATTTTGGTTGTTGAAGTGAGACATAAACTACTACCAGGTATATGGTCACTCTCGGTTTCGCATATAAAAATAGAAATTTTTAAAAAATTAGCACAGTTGTGCAAATGATTTAACCTAAAAGTGCCCACACATTTTTTTACTTATCGTGATTTTTGAGTGTGTTTTTTAAGACTCTAACAAATCATCAATAAAGCTTAAGTGGAGTGTGTTATTGGTGCTATGCCTCATCTTTGTTGTGTTCCTGGTGGAAAGGATAGTTATTATACTAGGCAACCTAAAGTGTCCGGAAGAGCAAGAAAAGTGGTACGAGTTATAAATCGTAAGAAATTTTATTTTTAAAATATCTTTAATAAATTTAAAAATAATATTCTCCCATGATGGTAGTTAAATGAAAAACTGGACCAATTATGTTCTATTTGATTCATATGTGGAATCTCCACTCCAAGTGTTGCTGATTCAGCTTCGATAGATTCAACCACGTAAGTAGGTATTATGAACTAGGGAAAAATAAAGTATATGTGTATTAGAGATCATGAAAAGATTATTATTTGAGGTTCAAAATTTTTAAAAAAAGATTTTTGTTAAAGACAAGACTGATAAGTTTAAAGGAGAATGGTGTTTTTGTTGATAATATATAATGTATGTTAAGCACATATAACATATATTGTTCAGTAATTTTTAATGAATTAGTATTGATTATTTAATGAATACCAAATTAATATCAAATATTTAAGGATGGCTGAAGTACAAATGAATTAAAAATAAACAATTAAAATTGGTATATTTTGCATTAATACAAAATTAGTTTTAAGAATAAAGGTATTACTAAAAATACTTAAGAAATTTCATATTTTTTGTTTTAATTGGTCTAATGTTATTTACATTTTAAACGTAAGAAATATACCGGTATCATCGAAAAAAATCGGCGTTCTATTGGCTTGAAATGAACATCGATGACATTCCCTAAATAAATGTACACATAAAATAATTAACTAGAATTTACATCTTGTTGGAAAATTGATATTCTTGAACCTTGATTCTAAATATTCTAAATTTTTTGATTTTCTTGGATTTTTAGGTTCGGGAAAAAACGCTGATGATTTGTTTCATTTTGGTTTTTCATTATTTATTTGCGTTAAAAAAAAACGGTTCGGCTAAAATTATAGCCTCCATTCAGTGTTGTGTCATATTGAAAAAAAATAGTGTCGAGAATATAATCCAAAAATTGATATAAATATTCACACGCCACGCACATAATGTTTACTGCGTACTCCATAAGTCAATGTAGATAATTTTAGTGTTGAAGAATAATTTAATTTTAAAAAATATGTGGTCAATCTTTTGATAAGTTATATTAGTTTATTAATTGCAGTAAACATTATGAGGTGTGAATGATATTGATATGTAATTTTTTGGATTATATTTGACACTATTTTTCTCAATATTGACACAACACGCTGTGAAGGCTATAGTTAGCCGAACCGTTTTTTTTAAACCAAATAAAATAATGAAAACCCAAATGAAAACTTAATCAGCGTTTTCCCGAACCTAAAATCCCAAGAAAATCAAAAAATTTTTTTTTTTTTTTTACATATTATATTTCAGCGATCTTCATTTCATACCATCGCTGACGCCTTTTTTTAGATAGATATTTATTATTTTGTAAAATAATTTTTCGACATTGATACTTGCAAATATACATATAAATTTGTGAATGCAAATAATAATACGTCACTATTAGTAATATTAAATTTTTGTTAAATTAGATCGATTTTCAAACCCCAAAATTTAAATATATTTAACATTTTACCCATTATCTAATGTACCTATACATTATTAGGTGCATTTGTAAACATTTGCTGCATTTGTATGTTCATAGTTTATTGCCAAAGTATTATTACTATAAATAGGTATATAGGTTCGTAGTTCATTAAACTGTATATTATGTATATTTCATTTAAACTATATCCAATTTTAAAAATACAAACCAAAAATCTTGAGAGATAATTTATGTTTTCCATTATTCTAAACATATTTATTAAGTCCGTTATATCTAAACTAGCGTGTACGTCTAAATCTCGCCCGCAGGCTGATTCTTTTAATAGAAGGCACTGTTCAGTTAGGGCTCCAGAGCGTCGCCACCTGCTACCTGTCACACGTCATGACAAGATTGACAAGTGACATGATAGCAAATTATTTGTATTTGCAATTGTTTACAATTATTTTGAATTTTTGGAAATTTTGTTATATTTTGTGTAGCATATACTTTTTTGTTTTGTTTTGTGGCTTTGTGCGTTGCTACAGAAATTATGGAGGAGTTTTGTTCCCGAAACCAGAGACCTGATAATTTCTCTATGATTTGAACTTTGTTTTGTGCTATGTGTTTTACGGTCATCATGTAAATATTTTGTTTTCAGCCGATGTTGTGATTTGAACACGATCCAGGAAAGGGTATCATGCAAAGCAAGTTTGATATGTAAAGACATTGCCCGTCTCTGAACTCGATGAACGTAAAGCGAACTGACTATATATTCGCGCCTTGATTACACAGTGTTGAACATTTGCTACCTCACCTGAACTTCAACCGCTGAGTTTATAAATCCAACTTACAGGTGAATTTAATTTTTTGATGATGTCTTATTTAAATCTTAATCTGTTATAATAGCATATAGATTGCAAACCCTGCGATCTTATATGCTTTGTAAGTTCGTTGTTAAATACGTGTATATAATATAGGTTAATCGAGGGGTGAACCGCTGGTGTATTTTGGTGTACTAGATGTTGGCATTTTTGGCATTTTCGTGTATATTGGTATTAGTAGCTAAATTATTTGCATTAGTGTACAGAAATTCATCAGCGGTTTACCCCTCGAGGTTAATTCCAGCATATGTTTATATTATCAAATTTAATTCTAGCATTAACTGTAAGCCATTTCTAAAAAAAGTGCTACAATAGTTTATACTTTTCAAATATTCCGTTTTTAAAAATAAAAATTTTCTGTCAAAATGTTTTTTGCAGTTTGATTTCGTAATATTTTTAAAATACATAAAAATTTTTAATTCCGTTTAAACTGCCCGCCTTTTTTTGTGGTTAGGTAATGCCATTATACTTATTTACCGATTACGTCTGTCATATTTCTGTTAGTTCAGTTAGGGCTCCAAGCGTTGCGCTCACAATCGATCCTCGTGATAAACGTGTTGCCTACTTTTTACTATGGAAATGACAACTTCTTTTTTTTATATTTCTCTATGGTATGGAGTGTAGAGCATAGACAAGATAGACAAACAGAAAAAATTAAAAAGACTGGCCAGAGACCTGAAGCGCATCGACGCAAGAATGTACTTGTAGCGCATCGACGCAAGTGTCGAAATACGTCCATCTAGGGCATCTAGTTATCTGTGTTTCGACCATAGAATAAAATAAATATAGACATACACTATTTACATCTCAACGCGGACAGACATTTTTTTGTACACATGTTTTACTTGCTGCAAGGATATATAGAATAAGGAAAATCAATAAAAAAAAAAAAAAACGTGCCGTATTTGTCGAGGAAGTCGATTTCGTCACGACCAATGGGCGTCGAGTATTTGAATTGAAAACATATTTCATTACAAAAATAAAAAAAAATTTTTGACTCATTTCACTGACAAATGTGATGAGATTGTAATTGTTATTTATTAGATCCAAAAATCCAAACGTTTTTTGAATAAATAATTTATATAGGTTCTCGTCCTCCATAAATAAGTACAATGTAGTTCCCTTTTCTCCGTGCGGCGACCACAAATTTAAAGTGCCTAAACAAACAAATTTCAACATTCCCCTCGCTTCCCTGCTCCCTTACCTCATTACATGCCCTTGCATCATTTCTTATTTAGTCAGTCTTTTTTTGTGTGCGGTACGACCCACATCGAATATCGCGTAAAAGATATCGATCGGCTCTCGCTCCGTAGAGCGGAGTGTTTTAGATTATCTTAAACGGATGGATAAGCGATTAAAGTTATTAGAAAATAAAAACATGCGTAAAAGAAAAAGATTAGTGACAAGCAGGTGGATGACACTTCTTATGGGAGAACTGGAAATGGTTGAAAACTTGACTACAAGCGATTTTCTAGGAATCTTCTTTACCGATAAATTATTGAAGGAGTGACAGATAAACCTTGACGATCTTCTTTCAGTATAACTGTTCAGCTCTTTTCTTTCGAAATGTTGCGTTGAAAGAGACAAAAAACAATTTTTGCAACCCATAATTTGTTATTTCGAACACCACTTTTCTCCTTGTCGGGTCGTTGACGTTGACTTGTCGCCATTTTATTTCTTTTTGTTTACACGTTGCAGTTTGCTTTAAAATTGAATAACATAAATTATTTAGGCAAATATAGGTTTTTGATAAAACTCCTTGCACTAACGTGTAGGGTAAGATGTTTGTTAAATAAGTTTTGTTTTTCATCTTAACATGCTCATTGTCATTCTCCTAATTTAGGTGACAGAAAAAAGATCATCAAATGAATTGAATTTATATTCAAAAATAATAAACAAAAAAAAAAAAAAAATATATATTTTATGGATACCTTCTTAAATATCAACGAGATGAGCCATGGGAAGAAAGGGACCATAGTACAAACCAGAAAGGTGATCTTTTTTCTTTCCACTTAGGATATTGAAAATTACTATATACTGTAGTCGTGTTTGGCATTATGCTCTTAGAAATATAGGTAAACAAAGAAGAACAGATATAAAGAATCCCAGAGGAAAAGAGAGGCAATACCTGTACTATCTCTCTGATATTTGTGAAAGTTACGTCAAAGTATTGTTGTAAATTGCACCTT